AGATTTGCAACCTCTGAATGTACCTTGTCATCACTCTACCAGAGTTGCTAACTTCGAATTTAGAAAAAATTTTATACATCTAAATTTTTTTGATAAATTTTCCAAAAATCATATAAATTGTCATATCTCGGAAGCTAGAGGGATTTGAAGAGACATACTTGGAGGCAACATTTGACACCCTTAAAAGTACTCTGACAGCATCCTAACATACGGTTGCTAGTCTCAAATTTGTGAAGTTTTCTAAATCTCAATATTTTGAAAACTTTTCAAAAAATTATAAACAACGTCATGGCTCGAAAGCTGAAAGGATTTGAGCATTCATAATTGGAGAAAACATTTGGTGCCCCTTAATGTACCCTAATAGCACTCAACTATACGTTTGAGAATTTCAAAAATTAATGGTAGTCATTCAAATCTCTTAATTGAAAACGTTTCTCAAAACTTCAAGATAAACTGTCTAGACATTTGGCCTTGAACTAAACAAAGATCCTAAGCTGATACTTATCGAGATTTTGGATTGAAAAAAAAAACTTCTAGAATTTTTATGATTTTCACCTGGACATTGTCCCCAATGCCTTTTCTAACCATTGTCCTCTTATGAAAATTGCTTAAACATAGCGTCCATAGAGTATTTGTCGCTGCGTTTAAATAATACTTAGATGGATAATCGAGAGCACGAATTTGCTTTGGTCATCGACTTGAGAAACATAACTTGATCTTTTGGTATCTTTTTAGTGACACTTTTTCGATTGATAAAATTAGCTCAATTTGAGAGCTGTATCAGTAGGAAGCTTTTTCTCAACTGGAAAATCTGAAACCTTTTTCGCGCCATTACCAACTTCGTTACGCGAGAGCGCAAACGTTAGCAGGTTAATTGAAATCAATTAAAAAGATCACAATTCAAACCGCAAAAGATCAAATTCGGTGTGAGTAAACTTGAAGACTATTTTTCCTGAAAAAAAAATATATCTCTTTAACTTGAATAATGTCTTCATAGCGTCTATTGACACCACATAAAAACTCATTCAAACTAAGCGCTCAAAGCTGAAGGGTACATATTTGATATGTACTGATGCGAAGGTTAAGACTTTTTTGAGAAAAACCTCAGAAACGTGCAAATATTTTCCGCAGCGACTCAATAGATAATCATAGCCAAACAGACATATAAGAAACAGTCAAAGAACGCAAGTATGCAGGAAAAAGCTGCCTTGTTCTGAAAAAAACGTTAAGAAAAAAAAGATGGTCGTTAAGCTCTTCGAATTTATACAACAATTCATGGTTGACACTTTTTTTGAAAAACACAATTTGAGAAAAATGGATCAATAGGTTTTTTATTCAGCAGGAAACACTGAAAAGAAAATTCAATTTTGGAAACTGCAAGTCCTTGACACAAAAATTAGTTCAAAAGTGAACAATTATTAAGTTAGAAGCCCAAAACTATAGAAAAAAAAAACAAATTAAAGAACTTAAAAACATCGAAATTTGTGCTTTCATTTAAAAACTAGCGAAAAGCACTGAAAACCATTTTATTGAAAAAGACAAAACTGAACGTTTTGATGTCTTTCAGAGCTGTTTCGACGGCCTTTATAGTCATGCTTAGAAAGGAGATTCCATGACAACTGCAGTTTCAAACGCCAACAGCCTCAGAAATCTATCTCTTCTTGATTATGGTTCAGACTTTGTTTTAAAAAATTATAATGTAAGCTAGCCACTCAACTCAAACTTTGCGATTTTTTCCGTTAACTCTTATTGGAGAGCAGCTAAACATTTCGCTACAAACCTTTTCAATGTTAATGTAAAAAACCATGAATAACTCGGCCCTCTTTTTTCATTATCACTTAAAGATCGAGGTCGAACTCAAAAGAAACACTGATATTAAGTTAGAGGTCAAAAGTGAGAGATAAAATATAGCCAGCAGACAGTTTGAAGAGAAGAAGGCAAGTAAACAGAAAAAACACTGACTTAATTTTTGAAAGAACTTCATGTTTCGAATTTCAAGATTAAAAGTATATGCCTCTATGGATTCAAGTACAATTTATGATTGAAAATTTTTTTTGATAAAACTTAGCTTAATTTCAGAATACTGGATCAATAGCTGAAAAATAAAATCCACTTTCGAAATAAGAAGTCAATCACGTTTTTCATGACGTTTACTTTTGTGCTGATCAATAGCGGAGCTTGCCATCCTTTTAACAAAGAAAATGAACTTAAGAAAAAGAAACCCAAAAGTCAAAACGCTAAAAAACAAACTTGACCCTGAACAAATTTTACGACTTTTTCAAAAAAAAATCAGCACGACTTATAAAAGAAGTTAAAAACACTGAAAGTTGTCATTTCATTAAAAACTAGCAAAAAATACTGCAACTCGTCATTTTATTGAAACATTTCAGAACTGAACATTTTTATGTCTTTCATAGCTGTTTCGGCAACTTTCTTATTCAAACTTTGAATTGAGATTCCATGACAATTGGAGTTTCAAGCGCCAACAGCCTCAGAAATCTAATTTCCGAAACCTCTTGTTGATTGTGGTTCAAATTTCGTTTTAAAAGTTATCCTAAAAACCAGATATTCAAATTTCAGGATTTTTTCGATTAATTGTTTTCGGAGAGCAAATGAGCAGTTCACTAAAAAAGCGCATTTTAAGCTGACTATAGAAACTATGAAGATATTATCCCTCTTCCATTTTCACTTCGAGGATTGTGGTCGAGCTCAAAGTGAACACTACTTTTAAGTAAGAAGTCAAAAGTGAAAGAAGTATAACTTAAGACAGTAAGGCAGTTGGATACGAATCAAAGAACGCAAGTAAAAGGCACTTTTCTGATAAAAGTAACCCAATCTAAGAAAACTGGATCAATTGGTAATTTCTATATTCCGCTGGGAAATCTGAACTCTAGAAGTCGATAACGTTTTTCCTGATCTCAACTTTTTGCTGTTGGATAGTGGAGCGAGCTTGCCTTCCTTTGAACAAAAGAAACGTAGTGAACTTAAAAAGAAATAAAAAACATCGCTAACAAATACATTTGAGCATTAAAAAAATATCACGAAGTATAAAAGAGTCTGAGCTACGTTCATCGAACCTTGAAAGTAAAAATCCTATCTCATACCTTTCCATAAAACCTGTTTTTATTAAACACAAACTTGAAAACATTAGAACAATAGCAAAAAATTGCTGAAATTCATCATTTCATTGAAAACTTCGTGACATTAAACGTTTTGATGTCTTACAGAGCTAACTCGACAGCTTTCATAACCATGCTTTGAAATATGATTCCATATTAACTAAAACTTAAAACGCCAACAACCTCAGACATCTGAATTTCTCAAAGTTTTTTGATCTTGGGTTGATTTGCTTTATAAAACTATACTGTAAACTAGACATCCAAAATTAGCCTTTTCATTCTTTTTTCGGATAACAACTAGGTTAATTTACAAAAAACGTCTTTTTATTATGTTTACCGAAAACAAGAACAACTTATACTTCTCTTTCTTTATTTTCACTCAGAGGATCGAGATCGACGATAAACACAGTAATTAAAATAGAAATAAAAAAGTGAATTATAGTCATACATGTGAATAAAGGCCAGCTGCAAAATATTTAAAAAACGCAAGTAAACAAAAAAACTGCCTTTTTTTTGGAAAACTTCAAGTTTCAATTTTCAAACAAAAAATATGTGCTCATAAAGCTCATTGAATTCCATGAGCAATTTAGGATTGTAACTTTTAAAAATAAAACTGACTTAATTTGATAAAACTGGGTCAATAGGTAATTTTTTATTCTGCTAGAATCTGAAAAAATAATACAAAAATAACAACTTTCAAAAATAGAAATCGATAACGTTTTTCCTGATCTTAAACTCTTTGTGTCCGATAGTGGAGCTTGCCTTCCTTTTAATGACGGACATTAAATGAACTTGAAAAAACAATCAAAAACCCCAAAACTAATGTTAATTTTGGTTTGGTCCAATTTCGTTTTAACAAAATGATACTGTAAAGTAGCCATCCAAATTTCGCGTTTCTCTCCAGCATTTTTTTTTCGGAGAGCAACAAAAACAATTCACTAAAAAAGGCCTTTTTAAAATGAATATAGAAATCATGGACAAATTAACCCTCTTTTTCCAGTTTCACTTGAAGGATTGAGGTCGAAGAAAGAACATTTCTATTAAGTTAGAAGTCAAAAAGCATAGAAGTGAAATATAGCCAACAGACATTTCGAAAAAAGTCAAAGAACGCAAGAAAATGGAACTTTTTTGATAAAAAACTAACCCAATTTGGAAAAACTGGATAAATTGTTAATTTTCTTTAATCCGCTGGCAAATCTGAAAAATACAATCAATTTTTGAAACTAGAAACCGATCAAGTTTATCCTGAGTTTTGCACTTTTGCAGTTAAACAGTAGAGTTTGCCTTCCTTTTGACAAAAGAAACAAACTGAACATAAAAAGAAATGAAAACTCAAACCGCGACAAAGTAAATATGAGCCTGAACAAATTTAAATTTTTCCTGCGACCTTTACAAGAGTCTGAACTAGGTTCATCAAAGACAAACATCAAAGACAAAAATGAAAAATCAAACTTGAAGCTTCTTTAACATTTTTCCTGAAAACAAAAAAAGCATCAAGACCTTCATAAGAGCCTTCACTACATTCATTGACTCAATAACCAAAAAAAAAACAATAACCAAAAAAGTCAAAATAAAGCATCACTTGGTCATTGCGCATAAACATAGCATAACTACTTCTGGATCTAGTTTTTTATAGGCTCATTATAATAGGTTTTATTAAGCGTGACTGCATAATACAGCTCTCATAGGGTCAAAAACCGAATCGAACCAAGCCGCTTGTTTTATCACTATATACTGCAGTTAAAAATAAATGTTTGATTCATTTTTGAAAGCAAAACCAATCCACTGCAAAAACAACCGTGACCTCGAATTATCTTTACCCCTCACAAATTCAGCGAAGCGAAACAAGAGTTGGAGTTAACACTGTAAAGTGAAGATAACCTCATTCGAAAAAGCCATATAGTTTGAATTCGGGTGTTGGTTGTTCATATTTGACATCGCAATTGGTGACGGCGTCGATGCTAGAGGCGAAGGAAGTGATGATGTGAAGCTGTTTCCATTCATGACTGCTGCTGGATATGGTTGCGAGGGATGGTGGGTCCCAATCTGTTGCTGTGTCTGCATCATGAGTGGAGACACTCGCTGTTGCATGAAGGCTGAAGGACCTTCTTCACCCGTGAAATGTGGTGACATTGCCATCGGCAGTGAATTTTGATGGGAAATCATGGCACCATTCATCATCGGGGGGCTCCCAATATTCTGAACCCAAACACTTTGTTTATTAAGCGAGTTTTTATAAACACGCAATTTTAATCACTTCAAGATTTCTGCGATATACTTTGATATCTAATTCTTTCTGAGAACTTTGGTGCATTAGATCATGGGTCTCTTGGAACTACAACAACCAAATATCTTCAAAAATTCAAGCGAATTGTCTTTCTACGTAATGATTGTTCTGATCAGGGAGCACTTATCCATGCGCCAATTGTGTTCATAAGCCAATAAAATAAATTTACCTTCGAGGGTAAAATCCCCGGTCTGTTTTGATTCATCCAGTTCAAATTATTTATTTGGTTTTGATATTGCTGCTGTTGATGGAGTTGTTGTTGGGTACTGGGCATCATCATTCCCGGGTTATATCCATTGGAGATTTGTGGGTTGTACTGCACAGTTGATAAATTTACGAGCCCATTATTCTAAATACCCAAAATAAAAACCAATTAGCGAGGACACATTACATTTGCTATGCAGATCTTACACAGTGGCGAAGCGAAGCTTTGCATCACTTGCGATACAACGTAAGCGCGGCATTGCAAGTTAGCCAAAAGAAAATGAGATGACGGAAAAACTTCATAGAGAAAAAACACAGAATAAACAGCATTACATGAGCTTTGAATTTTTACAGAGTGGCCACTAAGCCGACAAAACGGGGATCGACTCTCATTGAGTCGAAACAAAATTCCGTACAAAACTTTGCTAAAAAAAAGCAATTAAACTTCAAATTTTGATTTTTACAAGAGAAACAACCAAAAATTAGATTTTAAAACAAAATCAACCAAGCTCTGTCCTTCAAACGACACAAAATAAGTCTACTAAGCCAAGAAATTATACGACAGAACAATTGAACAAAAGCTTTAAAACACAGCCAATCGAAAATTGGAAAAGGGTACTGAACGCAAGTAAACATCTAAAAAACTAGATGCCCTTTAAGCTCTTTGAATTTCTGGAAAAAGTTACGATTGGCGCTTTTTTGATAACATGAACCCAACTAGAGAAAACTGGATCAATAGTTTAAGTTAATATTCGTCTGGAAATCAAAAATTAAATTTCACTTTCGAAACTAGAAATCGTTCACGTTTTTTGCGCCATTTCCACGTTCGTATTTGGAGAGTGCTATTTACGTCACTTTCAGCAGATGCATTTCAATTGAACTCAAAAAGTGCATATGTACCTAAGTGCATTCATAAATGCATCAATATGTATGAATGCACATCTGCAGTTATTAGAGACATATAGGACTTTTCCTGAAAAAAAAACCAAAAAAAATCAGCAAGACCTATATAAGAGTCTTCACTACGTTTAAAACTCTTTAAAAAGACTGAAGATACAAATTCAGCAGACAAACAAACAAAAGCTGACAATTCAGTTTTTCCCAAAGTATTTAAACAAAGTATGTACGATAATACCGGGACTCGAATCTCAGGCCATATGGTGCAAACCACGAACTCTTTACCTCCAGACAAAATTGCAGGAGACTGGAAGTTGTTGAGGTTCACTGAAAACGTAACTTCTCAAAGACTACTAAAAGAAATTGTTTTAAGATTTTAGAATTTAGTGTTTACAGAAATTAGCGAACCGTAAGAAGTCATTGATAAACATGCCAACAATTCATCTATTTTCCAAGATCTAACAAAAACATGCCTCGGAAAGTATCTGTTAAAATTACGAATTGTTACTTAGGACCAACTATATAATCTACTGCATTTGCAAGGAGTGGTAAAGGAAAAGAAATGTGGAGAAAATATATTTTAACAGGAGGCTTGCCAAGATTATTTCGAAAGCTGATTAGTGTTAGTTAATGGTAAAATGCAAATTGGTGAGCTCGGATAAAAATACACGCGTAATCGTTACGCGTATTTTTAAGAAAGACAAAAAAAGGTTGCAGAAAATCGTCCCTTGTCGTCGTTAGCTCAGAGCCCATGGTATCAGTTCCTTGGGAACCCGGTCGAAAGCTTTTTCGAGATCAACAATTATGAAATGCAGGGGTTTTCTTTTCCGCAAATAGTTCCTTCACTTGCCCATTGAGAAAAACTGCATCGGTACGTGGTCTACCGGCGATAAAGCCAAATTGTATGCCGTATATTTTTAACGTTTCAGACGTTTTTCTTGAACTGTTTCAAAAAATTCTGATGCAAGTTCCAGTAATCAGATGGCTCTGTAGGATCTACATTTTAACGCATTGCCTTTCCCTTCGTAATATGTAAGTTTCACTCTCGCTCAAATTGAAAGCTATTGGACCAGAGTCCTAGACTTCCTTGAGGACTTCATAAAGTCCAGCAAGTCGACCACATTCCCCTGCAAATTTTATAATGACTGAAAAACTTGTTGGTCATGGGCTTTTATTTTTTGATTTCTCTGAATGCTAGTGCTACCTCCTGGATATTAATATCCTCCCAGGGGACAGCCTGTCTAGCATTTCAAACAGACGCGTCTCAACTGAAAGATTTAGGTAGCTTTGCTACTGCGAGAGAACATTTTGAGTCAATTCTCCGATTTAGAGAGATCTTGAAACCATTTCTGGCTTGAATCTTCTTTAGTTTCCGCAACTAGATGTTTCACGACTGTGTTATATCTCCAATATATAACCCAGTCTTCATCATTTCCAGACCTCTGTCAATTTTTGAAAAAAAATCTTTTTTTTTTGTTCCACCATGTTTTTTTCTCGCTCGTTTCCGGCTGTTTGGCCACATACATTTTTCTTTTCTTCAAGAAGAATAGATTTCAAATTTCCCATTTTGCATTTTTTCAATTTTTCTCTAGCTTTTTCTTTTGGCTTCCTTGTAGTTGATTTGGCTTTCCTTTTCATCAAAATCTGAGAATTTGACTTAACATGGTATATGTGAACTTCAAGAAAGAAATCACACAGAACAAGTCAGTGTTGATTGCCACATTCTTCACCCTTGATAACTTTCAAGTTTTTGACACAGCTTCTTGCCGACGATGTCAGAATGAAATCAATCTAGGTACAATTGTCTCCTTTCTGAAATGTACAATAAAATAATCGCAACGTTCCTTTAAGAGTGTTTAGGACGGCAGAAATTGAGTCGTCTCTGACCTTCAGAGTTTAGAGTCCCAAAGCAGATTGGGCCACCTTCGCATTCAAATTCCGGGCGCCACAGTCCAATATGTCCATTCAAGTCACGACACAGGAAAGTATATTCATGATCAGATAGTGATCATAGGATTTTCTAGCGTGTTGTAAAGATCATCGTTTTCCGAATCCTCTCTTTCAACTTGTAGGGCTATATAAATGCAACAATACACATAGAATGCCATAAAACAAATTTTAGGCGCATAACACGCTCATTTACTCTAACAACTTCCAATACAATTTCAAAAAACGACAATTGCTGACTACTGCAACACTATTTGTGCTTTCTGACGTTCCCTGCCAGAAATACTTACATATTTAGTCACCATCTCGAAAACTTACTCTGCCGCTTCCTTTGGAATGAGTTTCTTAAAGACAGCGCACCGATATCTTCTTCTTTCTAGAATTTCCCCTATTTCACAGCATTTTCCTTCTAATGTGCCAAGGTTCCATGAAAATAATCGAAACAATAGCAGATTTCTACCACGCAGGTTTCTTGCCATGTAGGTTTCTTCGTCTTATACATATTAGTATAAGTCATATTAGTACTTGAAACTGAGATTCTAAGGACCCCTCTCCATTTAAGGGGCGCATGGGACTGTGGGCCATTGCTTGTTTGACTTTCCATAAGTTGTTTCGAGCGGTGCCCATTACAGAGCATTTTCAGATCGTAGTCCTTATAGACCAACTGCCCTTCCTGACGTCCATTCTCTTCTTTTCCCGAGCTTGGGACCGGCATTTCTGTTTTTAAAACCGGGCTGGGGACCCGCAGCTCCGTCTTAACCAGACAGTCCTCAAGAAAATAGCCATGAAACTGATTTGGATTTAACCTTTGTTTAATTGGCATCTAAGCCGTTCAACATAGTGCTGAATTAAATTATCCTGCCTGACAAAACGAATTAAATTTCAATTTCTTGTTTGAAAGGAATTGACATTAGACAAAAAAAGATGGAGCAAACGTCTATGATGTTAATATGATGCAATATGTTATTATGATGTAATCTAATTTGCGAAAACCGGGCCCAAAAACTATCCCTTAACAATGACTCACTTTTGGCACTATTTACTCAAACAAGAATCATATTAAAACCAATGGGTAATTATTGAACAAATTTAAATCAAAGTGAGCCTCATAGGAAGATCAATAAATTTTAAGCGAAGGATTATCTGCAAAACTTGCATGGCAAAAGTATTTTCGGTTGTTAACAAAAAAATATTTGCTAACAAGAGATTTAGGATATCACACCCCTGTTGAACTTTGCTGGTCTAATGAGAGCCTAACTTTGACATAATTCTTGGCAACTTTTACTCTCATCTCTTTTGTCTTATTTCAACTTTAAAAAAATATGTTATGTTTCCATTTTTATGCTTTTGGTCTGGATAATTCAAATCAGCACTGTAGAACTTAATGCAATCAAGTCAAAACAAATTCCAATTAAAATTTGTGTTTAAACATCACTGTACCATTGAGCAAGCATTTGAAAAAATTAATGAAGAGGTGCTAAAATTATGAAACGCAAAAAAATGGCAAAAAAATTAACCAGGACGGAAAACGTGTAAAAAAAAATATGCCACTAGTGTTCAGGTGTGAAAAATACTACTTCGATTCTCATTTAATTTCAAGCTTTAAAATATTTCATTATTAGGCCCAATTTGATCACTCGTTAACATAGTATTGGCTCATAGAAGCTCATTTGACAATTTCAAATCAGGGAAATGGATCATTTGCGCACCCAACTATCTGCACCATTACAGGAATATATAAAAATTGTAGAAAAAATGTTCTAATCACCGGAAAATGTGTGCTGAGGCCACTCGGCCGACAAAAAAAAACAGAAAAGACAAACAAGAAGTCAGCAACTACTTTTCAAAGCCGATAGCTTTCACTCTGTTAAAAAAAAACAAATCCCAGACGGATTCAAACTCAGGCGATTCGTGGAGCCAGGCATGGACATTGCCTCCAGGCCAAAGTTAACGAGTGAACCGCTGAATTTTAATGTGTTATTAATCAAGCCAATAAAGGAATCAGTGATTCTGCTAGACAATTTAACTAGAAAAAACTAATTTCCGATTCGATACCGCTTGCTAATCGCAAGCATTATTATCGCAAGGGTAAAAATGTTTGAGAAAAACCATAAAATGGCCAGCATAATGTTGACATTAAATCTTTCATTACTGGAAAGTTTGATACATCGTTAGTCAGCATTTCGAAACGCATTCAAAATTTCGCAAACTTTCAGAATATCAGATTTTCTAAATTAATTAAACTCATACCGAAAAGTTGCTACTTTTGTAAAGGAAACGTCATTTCAGATAGCAAAACTTAACTCAGAGACAAAGCGGATCTTCGCATCACTTGCACTACAAGGCAAGTATAGCATTGCAAGCTAGAGAAAAAACAGAGGCAAAGGTGAGCTTCTCACCAGTTGCAATAAGTAAAAAAAAAATAGAATGGAAGCTAGCGGAAAACAAATATGACAAAAGCCACTGATCCGAAAGATTGCCTCCGAGCTGGCTGATTTTGAAGAAAAATACTGAGAAACGTTAATGCCGATAAAAAGTAAGTATTGAAAACCAAGATTAATCAAATGGTTACTGACTAGACAACACTTGGGTAGACGACAAATGACCCAAAAAATTGCAGTAAAAACTGTTTCCTCATTTCCTCGTTATATAAACAAGGCATCTCTACCTGAAAACATAATTTCCTTGAATATACGCAGACCTTGAATATACGCGATTGGGCCAACACGATTGGACCAAAGACGATATACGCAGAAAAACAGACTTCGCTAAAAAAACAGACTGAAACAGATCAGTCTGTTTAAACAGACTAAGTGGTCACCCTGATTAAGCCGCAAACTAAAAATGCAATAAAAAATTAAGGTCAGAAATTAAGCGATTAAGTTTTCAGCACAGATGCGAAGCTGCGCTTCGCAAGCACTTGCGAGAACACACCAAAAAGCAGCTCTATCAATTGAAATTTAAAAAATATATATAAATATGCCTCAAATTAGCAAAACCTCCGCTACGTTTAGGATTCGAATCTGCCGCCTACTGCAAACAAGAGATTTTGAGTCTCACGCATTATCCCTTCAGCCACTCAAGCTCAACAACCGACAAATAATAGCCACAAAAAAGCAGCTACATATGCTAATAAATTGCCAATGCCACTCAGCAAAAGTGGCACCAAATACATATAGACTCAATTTTGCAAGTAATAATTTGGAATATAAACTGAAGTCATTCATACTAACTTTGCATGTAACAAATCGCAAAGCATAAATCCACATTATGTATAAATTATGTATTTCAAAAAACTGCTAGATATATTGAGTTAGAAAATTTCTTAAACCGAGTTTTTATTATTGTTGTATGAAACAAATAGTTTTTTCGGTTCATTTCATGAATTCAAAATGCATCAACTGTATTAATTTATTACTATTCGAATATCAAAGCACATGCTATCAAAAAGCTGTAAAGGTGCCCCAAAAGTGGCACCAATATTTGCGACTAAGGTTCGTACTAAAACACTAGCTTCGCAAATGTGAACAACTTTTACAAAATACATCAACACGGAAAAGTAGGTACAAAATTGCCAGGACTCCAAATCCAGACCATAGTGTGCAAATGCAGTTCTTTTATCCCTTAGACTATGACGGATGGAGTCTGGAAATTGTTAAGGTTTACTAATAAAGCAACAGGTTTGTAAGAAAATTTGTTTACGGGGAAAAGTCTAGTTCCCAAGACACTTGCTCGAACAAAAGTAAGAAAAAGGAACTAGATATGCTATTGTGGCAGAATAAGCACATCTAATCTCCTCAATCTCGAGCAGAACTTGCCTTTGTAGTCAAATTTGCAACAAAAAAAATCATTTTTTTTTGACAAATTGAAACAATACGTTAAACCATCAACTTGAATCGATTTCAAATAAAATTCTTAAACCCAAAAACATTAACTAATTAAGGCTAAAACTAGTTAAAGCTAAAACTCACGCACTTTTAGAGCAAACAAAAAATCAGAAACCATGCATCCGAGAAAAAAATTTACTTGCAAATAAAACTCTAGCAAAAAAACTCAACAAAGTTCTATTTCTAAGAAAAAAATGTGGCGTCTATAAAAACCAGAAAACCATGAACTATATTTACCATCATAAAAATGATGAAAAAAGTATCACAGAATTAATTACCAGGCAAGTAAGCCGACAAAAATGGGTCAAAATCAATACAGCTGACAAAAAAAATCAACTTACATCAAAAATATTTTTCAGCTGTAAAACAATTATCACTTTAGACGTTAAAGCCAGCTTTTGAATTGCTACTAGACGTTCATCTTGAAAGGAAATAGAGATACATTTGGAGATGACCAAATTTCAGTCGTCATGTGGACAAAGTTGTTTACGGGGAAAAAACTAGTACTCGATTGTAATACCCTTGCTTATCGCAATGGTAATAATGTTATGAATAGGATTAATAAATATTTGTTTTGAATTGAGATACGAAATGTAATAGCTAACCATGTAATCCAGGCCATTTGAGTACATTGAAGTTTCTCTCATAGGCGTTGTTCCATGGACAAATGGAGATGTTTCAGAAGGGAAACCTATAAAGCAATAATAAATAATAACCAAAGAAAACCGCTTGAGCCAAAAACCGGAAGAAACTTGTTCATGCCCAATCTGCTCTGTGAATAATTGTTTTGAGTTCCTCCCATGAGGTCGTCAAAGTCAGGAAGTTCATCTGTTTTCATCAAGCCACCACCACCTTGATACGCCTTTGTTGCAAGTTCCCTAGATCCATTCAATCCATTACTGATACCGTTCGATACATCCTGAAGCACAACATTTTATCACTTGGCAAGTAATGGTTAATTTGCAATGAGCGCAAAAGTTTCCGAACACAAGACGCATTTCGAAGCAGGAACAATTTTTACTACAAAGAGAAAACAGCGATGAAGAGAGAACTGGAAAAGGAAAGGAAAGTAGTTTTAGATTCTTTGAAGCAGCTGAAATCACGACTAAAATTACTGCATTAAAATGTCGCACTGAACCATGAAGGAGATTTCTCAAGGTACTTGAATTTGCTTGGTAAAAAAAAACTCAATAATAAGTTTTACTATTCGGTCAGTCAGTCTTCATAACAAGAGAAGTATCTACATTTTTTATTCATCAAGCAATCTACAAGCATTAAGATTGCGGGACATTCAGATCAAATACCTAAATACCGAGTATTCTTTACTATCAATTGTTAATACTCACATAAACTTCAGCTTCAAGGTCGATCCCACTGGCACTTAAAGCAGCGCCAATCAAATCAAAGCCTTCATCCATTCCAACGCATTCTGTAATATTTTATTATTTCGGACATAACTTTGCTTTTAATCTAAAGTCTAAACACGGGAAGAATAACGAAAGACAAAGCTTTTTTACGGCAAAATTTGCCCAGTAGCTTTTTGTTACTTTGACGGAATATTTTCAATAACAGTCGTTAAATTAACTCATATATGAAGCTAAGAAGGATATGCCAGAGACACTATTTCCCGAGCCTCTGGCTCACGGTACCAGAGACACTATTTCCCGTGCTTTTCTAACTCAATCAATCGGAGCCATTTCGTGGTTCTCAGACTTGGATCTTTTAGAATTTTTCAGCTGTTTTTTATCTTTTCCTCAGGAGCGCGAAGTGTGCCAGTCGGTCATATCTGGAAGTTTGACCTTGAGGGACACGAATATACGTGATTTTGGAGTGAAGTTTTATTTTTCAAAATTTCGAATGGAGCCTGTCATGCTCAGTTTTCTCGCAACAACTGAAAACACAAAATGAAAAATCAGAACGACCGAATTTACAATTGCGGGAAAATACTTAAGAAAACAGCAGGAAATTGCTATTCGCAATTTCCAGATACAAAATAAGACACGAGTAGAGCCGTCTTATCCTGAAATAGGAGGCGAGATAATCACGAGAGAAGAGTGCAATTATTCGAACTGAACCAGAGTGAACCTTCAACGGAAAGGTGGACAGCTGGAGTGTCCCAATGGTTCAGACTAAAACTTCAATTCTAGAGTCTAAACTTATTTCCTTTGTTAAAACTGACTAGTATTGAACTTATCAAGTTATCTTATTTAATTCTCGAGTTGCTCATCAATTTAATTACTCCTTATACTCGAGTGCGTCGACATGTGAGTTCCAAATTTACTTTTCTCGAGTGTGTTTTATGATTGTTATGTTGAGATAAGGCGAGTTTTAGGTTGATCCATCTGAAATGGATCAAAGTTCCACTGTCCAATAAAAAGTAACTTAACGGATTGTTCCGACCCTGTTTTTAACGGCGTTCGTGTATTTTGGGTATCTCGAGACCTAAGTATGGGGACGTTCTTATTTTCTAGAGTGGGGGGATATTTTGTTAGTAGCCTTTAGGCTGTAACGGGTTCTAGTCTCATGTCGCAAGCGAACCGAATTGGCTCCGAACGTTCTTGAGGTAGAAAAACACAAGAGATAGTGTCCCTGACTCTTGAGCCAATGGTTATAGGGCCTATTTTTCTTAAACCTCATATGTGACCGAAGTAGGCGACTGTTACATAGTGTTTTTATGGCGCTCCTGGGTGTTTTTACGACATCATGACTACGGAGTCGAACCCACTTGACACAGCTCCGGGCTGCATGCCCATTCTAGAGTACCGGTGGTACGGTTCAGCGGGAACGTGTAAACCTTCCGGTTGTACCGTGATAGCTTTTTAAGAAAACTTGAGAAAACTTCCTGGTACGCTCTCCGAACGAGGCCTAGCTAACCGAGTAAGGGGGGTAACTAGGGGGACAAAAACACGAGCAAAAAGACAAAAAGCGAAACAAAAACAAGAAAAAAGTATAGAAAAAGGAACAAAAACCATAAAACAAAAAAGACAGTGACTTTGATACCAGATCATTTGGATCAAACCTTTATATTAATTAAAAAGTATACCCATACTGTTTTATAAGACCGATCGTTTCGATCAATCTAGCAATCTAAACCAGTGACTTCAATAAGGTGCCCGAGTGGGGGGCGTTGTTAAGGGTTTTCAGATAGATTGCAACCTAGCCAGACCACTAGGAGACTTAACTGGAAAGGGTAACCAGTCGAGTGGGAAATTAGTTCACAAGGACTGAACCGGACCACTAGGAGACTTGACTGGAAGAGGTGACCAGCCGAGTGGGAAAGTGGTTCAAAGGGACTGAGCTGAACCGCTAGGAAACTTGACTGGAAGAGGTGACCAGCCAAGTGGGAAGGTGGTTCTGCTGTCAAGTGCAGTGCACGTCAACGGAGACAACCAGCACGGAATCACTACAAGAGGACGCACAGGGGTGTTCTCAAGTTGGGCAAACGGGTATCGTTAAAATCCACATTACATTATAGGAGATAAGTGTAAAATTGGATAAGCGGATCCCCATTGTTTTGAGGAAGTTTTTACACAAGAAGGCCTGGAAACAGGTCTACGGTTTTCTCTCGAGAGGTTTAGCACCTGGCGCTTAAGGGATTTTTCGGCTTAAGAGGGGGGCTAAAGAGGGGGGAGGTTAGAAGGGGGCCTGGTTAGGTTAAAGGTTAGCGGTTGTAAATTGTAAAAAGGGGGGACACATTAGAGTAACTAACTGTTCGGCATCGTCGATTTAGTTACATTAGATACTTACACGCGTTGGTTATAAGAAGCGGATATCCAAATTTAATATCAGGTTAAGGTAGGTACCCTGGTCGGATCGGTAGGGGGGAACGGACATAGACAGTTTTTGTGATACCCCATAAGATCGCTAGCAGGGGGGAGGAAAACGCGTGGCAATCGGGTACCAGATATTTTTTCAGACAAAGGTTGACATCTGTCAACTTTGAATTTTAGGTAGGTTCGTCTCTCTGTTTTTGGAACTTTTTCCTGTTTAAATTTTTACGTTTTGGTGAAAATTTGTTGTTGGTATTTGAACGAACAGGTGATCACAAGATACCCGCGAGGAAGGTAGGGTTTCAAATAGCCTGAAACAACGAGAGGGAGATAAATACTGGGGGGTTAGTATTTGGGTTTTGGCAATTAAGATAGGAGTTTTGGGAAAATTTTTTACTAGAGCTCAGGTGGTGGTAAACGGTACAGTGGTTCAAGAGTCCCTACAACGAAGAAGAAGAGATCCTATATCCAGACACTCAGTGACAAGTCTTGGGACAGTACCGAAGAAGTCTCGGGACAGAGCAGTCTTGGGACAGTCTTGGCACGGTGCAGTCTTGGGACAGTCTTGGACCAGAGCAGTCTTGGTACGAAACAGTCTTGGGACACTAGTCTTGGGACAGTAGTCTTGGGACAGTAGTCTTGGGACAGTGGTCTTGGGACAGTGGTCTTGGGATACTGGTCTTGGGACAGTGGTCTTGGGACAGTGGTCTTGGGACAGTAGTCTTGGGACACTAGTCTTGGGACACTAGTCTTGGGACAGTAGTCTTGGGACGGTGGTCTTGGGACAGTAGTCTTGGGACGGTGGTCTTGGGACAGTAGTCTTGGGACAGTAGTCTTGGGACAGTAGTCTTGGGACAGTAGTCTTGGGACAGTAGTCTTGGGACAGTAGTCTTGGGACAGTGTTCTTGGGACACTAGTCTTGGGACAGTAGTCTTAGGGCAAGGGTCTTGGGACACTAACAAGAAGTACTGGGACAACACTGAATAGTCTTGGGACAGTAGAGAGGAAGTCTTGGAACAGTATAAAGAAGGGGGTTGACGGTACTAAAAGAGTACTAAGACAGGTTGAAGGAACCAATTGCAAAATCAAATTTTCTATCCAATCCTAGCATATAGAATTTTCAAAAGCTCAGGAAACGTTGTTTTTAGCAAATTGTAAACTTCTTTTTATAAAATTTTGTCAAAAGAGGTTTTAACCTTAGAGTAGAATTTTGTAGATAGTAATACTGTAAATAGGAACAATTGTAAATAAAAATAATGAGGCGGAGCAGGGTACCGGTAGCTGAAAAAAGACCTACCGAAGCGAAGACAAAGTATAACTCGTCGCTACTTAAAACGACATCAATGGGTCCAAAGGTAACAAAGAAGAACTTTTCAGTTAGTATGGTCAACACGAGGAGTAATACGGAGAACAGAGCAAAAGAGGGCACGGAAGGGAAACAAGCAGAACCCACCATCGAGATTGAACTAGAGACACCGGATCAAAGTGTGGATGAAGTGGGAAAGAAGACGACAGAGTCAACTCCGATGCCCAATGCGGAAGAACCTAATCCGAAGCCCATGGAGTTCTCACCGATAGACAACGTGGAAGACACAACAGGCAACATGCCAGAAACGGTGAAGGACGAGTCTCAAGCAAAAAGAACGTCTTTTACTGAAAGATTGGCGATGATGGTCGGAATGAAATTGAGAGACGCAGCAGTGGAGGAGACGAAAGCCGATAAAAGCAAAACATTCGGAACAGTATCCACGAGATCGACAGACACCGACCAAAACGAGGATCAGAAAAAACCGGGAACAGCGACCGACTACAGGACAACAACGGACCATGGAACAACTACTCTTGAGCTAAGTGACTTGATGGCGAAGCTAGATCAGATAGACGAGAAACTGAAGCACAGCGAATAGGATAGAAACGTGATAAGGAAGGAAATGAGAAACAACAAACATGAGTACCTGGACAGCTATTTCCATCTAGCGAGAGCAACAGAGGAAAAGCTTCAGCAGATGTCGGGAAAAATACACACCACTAATGGAGAGCGAGACAAGAACATCAGAAAAGACATGCGAGAAATGAAGCAGCGATATGACGCAGTGAATAGCCAGTTGGGGAGTTTGGAAACGAGAATGGATACGATGAGTAGGGACCAGGCTGAGAGCTCAAGTGCAATACAGACAAAGTTAGACGCTATCTTGAGGAATTCAACACCACAAGACAGGCCAGCGGCGGAGCGGACACAAGGTAATAGGGTTGACTTCGTGGAACCACAAAGGAACAAAGGACAGTCAGCACCGTTACCAGTACCCCGGGAGGCTGCGAGTACGGCACCGATGGGGGCCAAGGCGATTATAAAAAGTGGAACAGCGAACACAACCAGTGGTCCAGGGGACTCCACGACTCACAACAACGTGGGACCGGATGCCATGACATGAGCAATTACCTGGGAAATGATGAACAGGACACTAGAAGCCTTCGCCACAAGGAACACCGACTCGAGTGACAGAGGAAGCAACAAATCCAGGAAAACTTTCTAGAAACCAAAAGAATTCAAAGATGATTCAGACGGATGCATTGACACTTGGGTAGAAATCATGAGGTTGCACTTGGAACAAGACAACCTGAACGATGAGAGGGAAGCATGCACAGCGATACTGAGCAACCTGGAAGGCACGGCATTGAAATGCGTGGTTGCGAAGAAAGAAGAGGAACG